CCAATCATGTTGTGACGGTGTCTCGGTCATGTTTTGATGGTGCCCTGTTCATTTTGTGATGGTGTCCCGGTTATGTGATGATGGTGTCCAAGGAAGAGATGGTCGATGTGTTGGAAACAGAAGCTGTTTCCAGATTTTTCTTTTGGCCCGGTTTGTATCTTGCTATTGGGGTCTCCAGCTGGGCTAATTCTTTGAGTGAAGCACATTGCTCTAAGCGGCTGGCTTTCGCTCCTCGCTTGTTTGGTCAGGGTGGAGCTGTAGGTGATTTTCCCACTTGCCAAAGGGACACAGAGTCCGGAAGTTGTGAGACGTATGTGCAGTTTCTCAGTTGCTCATCAGGTGTTGAAACTCAATTCTTCCCAAGCACCATGTTCACTCTTTGGAACGAAAGAGTGAGATGTCGAGCGACGTGATTGCGCGGCCAGGTCGAAGGTGAGGGAGTTGACCAAGAAGCGGATGGAAGCTCGAGCGAGGTCCATGATCCAGGACGGGTGCCTCGTGTGGAAATAATATATATATATAATATAACAAGAACTAGCTGTTGTTCAGGAGGGAACTGAGGAGCCGGGGGTATCCATATTCCCCATATTTCCGCAACCCCTTGCTGGAATAAAGGAATCATTGTTCTTTGGTCTGGGTGGAATAGAAACTCCGCGGTTTCAGACTTTGAGAGCACATCATACACATCATACCCACTTGTCACATGCACATCTACACCCACTGGGTCTCCACGGGTCCGCCGACCGGTATTGGGTTGCGAAAGGTGTTGTGACGAAGCCTCGAACGAAGAACACTTCTGCCGCAATGTCTCGCAAATTCGATTCGTGGGGCACTTGAGCTGCTGGGAGTCTGGAGTTCCGTTTAAGAGAAACATCACTGTAGACCAAAGAAGTGGAGGCAATTGCTAGTAACTAGTATGTTGGAGGCCATTGCTACTAGGGTGGAGGCCTTTGTTGTTAGGTTGGAGGCCACGCTATTAGGTTGAAGCCTCACAGAAGTGGGTGTGGCTACATGACAGTTCCCGAAACTACCAAACATGGGGATTCGACCGGAGTGCCAACGTGGTCCAGTTTGCCACGGGGGTACGCTTGGTCCACAAAGAAAAAACACGGCAAGTGTATGCAAGTGTCGTCGTTCGACTGGAACTTGACGAAGTTCGAGGTCAAACCCCATGATCCAACTGGTGAAGCATAGTTAAGCCCTAGAGGTCCAGTTCCTAATAACACTTTGCCCCCACTGAAGTGAAAGAAATTCCCACGGAAGTGGACGTCCTGGCCCCTTGGAAAGGGAAATCCTCACACCAACAGGGGGTGAACTCACTCCACTTCCGTGTGTGTTGCGCATGTATTTCTGGGCCTTCTTGCCATAAATGTCCCAGTCAAGTGTGTTTTTTTTTGGGGGGGGGTGGGAAGTGAAAGACCAACACTCCGGCTCCGTAGGACGACCCACCCGTTCCCCCGGGCACCGGTTTCTTCAGGACTTCGACGAGAAGCTGGCAGATGCCGCGGCACAAGTCCAGGAGGTGGGTCGGGGATCACTTGCAAGGGCCCATGTAGATCTTTGATCTAGATACCTGGTATGAGTGGAATGCAGGGCAAGTGCAGGGCATTCAGGCGATCCTCATCAGAAAGTGAAACAGGACATGGTGGTCATCCGCAGCTGTTTGGGCTTCGCGCGGGTCCGTAGGTAGGATGAATGGTGAGCCATGTGCCAAGCTGAAAGCCTTTGTGGAGCATAGCCTCCAAGGGCTGGCGCAATCCACACGCGCCTTGCGACAGGTTTCTTGGCTTGGAGACGCTTGTTCTATGTCTTTTTCAGAGGCGCTTCTCAGTCTCAGGCCAACACTATAGTCATATGAAAGGTACCTTTTGGTCCAAGCTCTATATAATGAAACAACTTGTTGTTTCTCCAACCCTAATAGCCATAACCTCCAACCTAGTAGTGATGGCCTCCAACCTAATTCATGGAATAACACAGCTTTCTTCTTCCCGCTCTTCTTTCTTTTCGTCGTTTCTCTTCACGGCATCAGGTCTCTCTCCGATGTTCACCGTCCACTCGTCTCGGTTTCACTCGCCTTCTCCAGGCTCCGTCTCTGGACTCGACCTGGGCGAGTGAGCTCTTTGGAGACGAGACGAAAACAACGGGGTGACCGGTGGAAGGACGTGCCGTGTGGGCCAGGTCTGTTTCATGCGATGTTTGTTTTGCGTGAGTTCTCTTGCGGCGTTGGTTGCCGCAGCGCCGCAGTGTTTCTTCTTTCATCATCCCTGGCGCGGTTTTTGCCTTTGGCTCCGTGGCGTGCTAGTTCGATAGCCGTATGATGCGATTGTTGGGAAAGACACCTGCAGACTGTTCTTGGTTTTGGTGTTGTGGTGAGGGCTTCGATACTGAAGGTCTTTAGGAGAAGAGTGACATACAGTGACACACACGGAACTTCTCGTCCGTGACGGAGAAATCGACGACAAAGGTCATCCGTTTCAAAGGTCCAACGGTTTTGATCTCACCAAACGACCCACCGAAACGACCCTCCACGAGTTTCGTCGACAGACGCCCCTCTCTAGACATCTCATCAACGGTGGACCGACGGCGCCCAACGGATCCCCGGATGCGTCGCCCAACGGTTCCTCAGTGCTGGGAACGTCGCTGAAAGATCAGTGTTGGTTCTGATGTTGCGAGGCCTTCGTTGTTCGGTTCAGATGGTTGGAGGCCCTGCTTTTGAGGTCCGCAACTTGACCTCAGGAGAGATGCTGGTCCACCATTTGGGAGTGTGGGAACACCACCTGGGAGCAGAGATGATGTGCCGAGCCGCTCGGCCTGGACTCAGGACCCTTCCACCCTTCTGCTCCAACTGCTGATTTCGAGCAGTTCTGCTCCAACTGCTGATTTCGAGCAGAACCAGCTGTTCTATCAAATCCCAGAGATCCTGCCTAAGTGCAAGTCAGCAAGTTCAAATCTCTGACATCTCATTCTATAGGCAGTCTTTTTGGCCTACACTGACAGGAAGAATATGGAAGAATGGAGATCGGATCAACTCACCTTCAGCCTTTTTGGGGTCCGATCTTCACTCTCCGAGAGTCTTTTCCTATTTGGTCCCCTAAGGCAGACCAGATCCCATCGCATGCCATCGAGCCACGGGAAGCGGCGAGACCACCGAGACAGGTGCCACGTCGTGCGCAGCGTGGGCTTGTTGCTAGTAGCTTCTTGCCACTAGTAGTACGGCCAGGAGCCCCTAGTAGCGTCTTTGCTCCTAGTAGCGATGCCAGGAGCCCCTAGTAGCTTCTTTTGTCGGGAAGAGGAAGGAGCCGGTTGTTTAGGTGTTTGCCATTCATGCCAATCCCCGTCATGACCTCGCTGTGAGGAACTTGAAGCACCCCTCATGAATCATGAACCTTTCATATCTTTTCATGGGGTCCAAGCCAGTCCCTTCCTTCAAACATGTTCAGCAGCTTTGGGACAGCCTCCTTCTCAGGAGTACAGTACTTTGGGAGGAGTGTTTGCTACCTTGCCACCCATGTATATCGGTGGCGATGCGGTCATGGTGCTCATGGTCAACTTGACTGCCATGTTAAGACCCAATATAGGCATTGTGTCCTTCGGTTAGTTTACAACTAGGCCCAGGAGAATTCATAGACAATTCGTCCTCTATTGGCCGGGGATTTGGGGACGCCCCCAAACAGGGTTGGTTTGACCATTCCCCACTCGCGCTGCCTGAATCTGTGGACCCAGCCCTTTGGCGGACTTGGGCGGACTTGTTGTGGATGTTCACAGCTGAGGTGAGTCGAATCGTGCAGGCTGAGGCCGGGCGATACTTTGGTCTTTGGTCCACGGTGGGGTCGGAAACCCCCAAGTGCAATGGAAGATCGACTCCCGTCCTGGAATCCGACCTGGGGTGTTCCATGTCAGACTTCGGTTAGGTAATTCTGATGTGTTCGAGACTGGTCTCCTCGGTTCATCTCCGAACACCGAAAAACATCCATGAATCGTGCGCTTTTGGGACTGAAAAGGACCCATTGATAGACCCACAGTGTAGAGTTTGGGGAGCGTGCAACAGGTTCATTGATGTCCTCATCTCTGTCTTGATCGTGGAGGGCAATCCCCTTCTTCAATTATCTTCAATTTGCGGTTTGACCATGGGCACTTTTCACTTCAAGGTGTTTAGCCAGTTCATACATTCACTCAGCTACATGACAACTGAGTGAAGCGACTTCCAACACAAAGCCGTTTTGGGGTAAGGAGAACACGGATCAAACCATCCAAGGACAGCTTGTTCTTCTTTCCCAGGTAGCTGCATGGCTCTGGAATCCCCGTTTTGGTTTTGCAGCTGCTGCCGTGCTGATGCTGGTGCAGGTGCAGGTGCTGGCTCTGGATCGGCGTTTTGGCCCAGATAGCTGCACGCTACAAGGGGTTCTTACTTCTCAATAGTGTGGCTCTGGACTCTGGATCGCGTTTCGTTTCGCGGGTGCTGCTCCGGTGCTAGTGCTGGTGCTTTCGTTTTGCAGGTGCTGTTGCCGTGCTAGTGCTGGTGCTTTCGTTTTGCAGGTGCTGTTGCCGTGCTGGTGCTGGTGCTGGCTATGGATCGGCGGTTCGTTTTGCAGGTGCTGTTGCCGTGCTGGTGCTGGTGCTGGTCAAGGCATGACATCATGTCATGCCAGAGATGATATCATGTCATGCCCAGGGATGACAAACCTATACACCTGGTGTTGTTTTTCCGCTTTCAATCATGCTTAGGCGTAAATCTCTTGGCGCCTGAAGTATCAGGCTTCGCAACCGTTGGTTGACGCATGAGCCATTGGTTGGCGTCGCGGGGGGTTTGAAGCCCCGCCCCGAGGAGTGGCGGCGGTTCGGCTTGGAAGGGAGGATAGGAGCGTGCGGCTCGTGGCAGGAAGTCAGGGATGATGAGTGGCTACTTTGCCGTTCCAGAAGTGGTGCCTCGGACCAGATGTGAACCAGACTGGGTGCATCAAGCAGCAAACAGGTGCAGGTGTCAGTAGTATGCTTTGCCTTCTTGAGCTAGACTTATCACAGCAAATCTTTCAAAAAGATTCGGCTTGATCAAGGTCTGGAATCCCAACTCTTTGGCTGAGTGATCCTTCAAAGCGTAACAACCCGAAAGACCGAGGGACCAAGGCGAAGACGAAAGGGAGCGGGTGGCACCCACGCTTGCCAGCTGTTGGCAGAAGATGGACCTGGAAAAAGGACGAACAAAGATGACCACCCGCAGTTGGCAAAAATACCAGAGACGTTTGGTGTATATCTATATGTTATTCTATGTTGAAGGATGACGGGGTCGGAATCCTACTTCGATGACTTCGGATCGACTGCATGCACCTCAGACCTTGGATTTCGCTGAGGCTCCCCCACCTCGGAGTCGGATTGGACGGTTGTGGCACCAGAAGAGATTGAGATGTCCTGAAGGAATGTTCATCCGGTTGGAACCGACGGGCCTGGCCACTTGCAGACTCGCAATAGACACAGGTGTGACATCAGTGATAGAAGGCTGCCTACAGAAGATCATTGGTAGATGCAAATTTGAACCAATGGACATAGATTGCTCTCGAAAGGAATATCATGAGCACCATGATGACCTCTGCAAGGTGTCAGGTCTGTACTTACACCCCCAGCTATCATGACCAGGCGGTCCCGTGGGGCCGACCGTTTCGTTTCAATGACCTGGTCAAATGTACCTAGCGACGATAGTGAGGTGAGTGTTTCCGCGTGCGTGTTTTGGTGCTGTAGAGGGCTTTTTTAAATGGTTCAAGTCCTCCACCCACTGAAGCTCTCTTGTTCCGAGAGAATTCCGTGAGCAAGCACGCTACTTCACAAGGGAAAAACGACCGTTCATGCAGGCCAAACTCAAGAGTCTTCAGCATGCTTCCTTCGTGAACGCCCTTTGAAGTTGGGATGAACCCCAACAGCATTTGTGTTGGGCCCTGCGGCTGATCCAAGCTGTCACAGAAGTTGCACGGCATCGAGACAGCCACACGGGGGTGCCACAGTCGAGTGACCCAGGAGAGCCGGGACGGCCAAGGATAGCGCTGAGGATCACAGCGATTTCTGTGGACTGTTCGAGAAAGGGGGCCACCACAGACTGCATTTGGGCCTCCAAGTGAGGGATCATCCCGAAAAGGAGACGTGCACAGTGGGTGGTTCTAATGGGGATTCCTTTGATGACAAACCAGGACAAACCGAAAGTGGTGCTCTTGGGGGAGATCTAGCAGGACTATGCAGGACTGACTATGTGATCTCGGGCCATACTCAGCCTCACTCGGCAGAACTTCCGATTGATCGAGCAATCGAAAAAAGGACCTGCGGCCTGCTGCCCATCGTCCGATCTTTACTTTTTGCTGGTCGGATGCGTGCTTTCTGGACTCAGCTGACATGGAACATACAGGCGTCTAGACCCAGTTCCAAAAATATCATTTTGGGATATATCCAGCGGACCAATTTTGACATCCAAAGCTCACCACGCTAAAAGCTGTCAATAGACTCTACGTTCTCCATCCATGAAGTCAACCTTTCGTGTCCCAAAAGATTTCTGCACGGTCTCGCCAAGAAGCGCTGCAGGTGATTGACCGAGCACTCATCAACATTGGCCCTGAAAATCCCAAGGCAGTGCATATCGGCATGTCGTTTTTTTTTTCTTCTCCGCTTTTTGGTTTCGCATGCCAGAGTGTTGGAATGTTCCAGACATATCTTGGTATGGTCCTGGTTGAAGCTTTTTGTGAAGTCGTGCTCTTTTCTGCGGATGGGTCTACGAATGCCTAGATGGACCGATCGACAGACACATGCAAATCGGTGGAAGTTCTCATGGGACCTCATTTTTTCACCGATCCCAACAGCATTGCCCGGTTGGAGCCGCTGGTCTGGTCGGTCAGTGCTTGGCCCTCCAAAGGATGACGAGGTCATACGAGGTCTGGAGATTGGCGACTAGAACATCCAATCTCCAAGGCCCTTTGGAGAGACCAGGACAACCTACGGCGCTGCTTCGGGACGTTTTCTGCTCTCTTTGCTTCAGTTTTGGGTCGTCCCGGGTGGGCCACCTTTTTGAGCAGAGCTGGGAGCCTCCAGCGACGCAGGTCATCCAGCGTGCGAAGGAGCTGCTGTCACCGGACGACCCGACCTCAGCCCACCCCAGGAGTCATGGCAAAACGCGCAGTGTATACGTATATATATATATATTTATGTATGATATACATAAATATAATTTGCAAATAAACACACATATATACATAAGTATATATATATATACCGCCGGACTGAAAGATAGAATGCCTGCATGTATAGTGCTCCAACACTTACGTAGAATGTCTAAGGTGATTTTAACACTTAGAATGCCTGCATGCTATCTTTCTGTCCGGCTGTGGTCATAATGCATTTATATGTGTACATATGTGCTCAGAAGAATTGACATATGCCAGCATTTCAGTCTTGCACAAAACTGAGATCATCTCAGATCCACAGGAATGCCCAACCATTTACTATATACATACAAAGGGCACACATTGCAGTCTCCTTTGTTTTTGAGACACCCATGCAAGAAGTCTTCTTGCAAACGTGTTTTTCCCTCTTTCCTTTTGCTTTGTCCTCAAACTTGCCAATCCTGTCAGGCTTGAACCATAAATAAGTGCTCATAATACATAAACACACACATACACTTAGAATGCCCGACAGGATCTCGGATTTTTGCCTCGACTTCGGGGTTTTGCTGCGTCCAGTTCCATACCCAACCAACAACTGAATGATATTGAATGTATAGATAAACTGTTTAATTATACAAAAAAATTATTGAGGAATTCCTTGGCCAAATAGAAAGATACCAAGCAACCAACATTCTATCACATTTAGAATGCCAGCACATGGCACGCTGATCTGTACAAGTTCAACCCATGGAGTCTTATTTTTTTTCATTTTTGCATCGCTGCACCTTTCTAAGTCGCGCCCCGTAGGCATGACCACGTACCCAGAGCAGGCATTCTATCTTTCAGTCCGGCGGTATATATGTATAGACATATTCACTCATGGACACTCTAGATTACATGGGGGCCGTTCCTCCAATTTTTGGGAGCCCCGCACCTGGCATTGCAACACCACTGGAGCAGGTTGCAGCAGTGTGGAGCCAGGTGCCCTTCCACCGACACTGAATAATTTTGTTTTATTTTCTTGACTCTCTCTCTCTCTCTCTGTCTGGTGGCCCTCAGTTGAAGGCAGATCACCTCTTCCTTTAAGATCCTTTATGTTTATTCATGTTTCCGTTTCACTTCCCCTAACTCTTTTTCAGGGATTTCACACCCCAACTGCGCACGGGGCTCCATGGGACATGGGACTCCATGGAGACCTTGCTGGGCTTTTGTTTACCTCGGAGACCTTGACCCCAGCCACACGAGGCGCATAGCACCCTCTTCGCGCTGCAAGCGGAGAATATGGCTGACAATCTGCGGGCCGAACTGTCGATCGTTGCGGGGCCGAAAGAGTCGATGGACGATGGGATTCGGCAGGGCAGGGGAATCGAGCAGGTTTGGTGGGGGGGTCGAACACGTCTGAGTCTAGTTTTCAAGGTGTGAGTGGAGTTGGGTGATACCCTTCGACGGCCGACGCTTGCTTCTGGGCGGTTGGGGCCTCAAATGGACATGGAGGCAAGTTACGCCGTCACCCAGTGGGTCAGATCTTCATGAGATTTTATGATCCCACACCCTAGTCCTAGTCATCCAGCAAATTCGGACAAAATAGACCAATGCCCAAATTGCAACCCTCAACATATTCTGAAAAATCTTGCGAGAGAAAATCACCAGAAACATAACAACATGGCCATGGCAACTCTTCACAAAAGAATTTGCCTTAAGTGGCATCTTGGCACATGTAAGTGGATTCAATGGTTCCAGCAGTAAGTACATCCATTCTCAAGACAAGCAATATCTCCTTGCTCCTTTCTCCCTAGGCTGACCCCAGCCCGGAAGCGGGTGATCGCCGCCGGGGCTGCGCTATGGCGCTGGCCGTTTCGCGCCCGAGCATGTGCGCGGTGGTTCGGAAGGACGGGGCGTTGGTTCTAGGTGCCAGGAGGAGGGGTTGGGCTGAAGTCTGAAGGCCCAAAGAAACGCTTCTCATTCTGTTCCTGACTTTTTGGCTTTCATTTGCATAATTTGTTCTGGATTGGTGGTTCGCAAGAGATGTTCCATCCGAACAGGTCAATTCCTTTGGATGGGTCACGGACAGATTGAGTCGAGCAACCTTTTGAATTCCGAACAAGTTATTTTGGTATGAGGTCACGGGGAGGCTTGACACCAGCACATATATATATATATTTACGTTGTTTAATACTTTTAATGAGATTCCGAAAGCTTTCCATGTTCTATTAATTCGGGGTTCTTCCACTTCCATGATTGTTGGAGGAGGGAGTTTTGTTCTCTCTCTCTCTCTATATCTGTATATATATATATATATTTTTTTTTTAAACCGCCGTTGGCGTGTGCCGCCGGCCTCCACGGCTGAATGCTGCCGCATGTGTGCAGAGGAGCAACGTGAGAAGGGGAGCTAAGATTTCGAAAAGTCTAGATATTGGAGTTGAGGAAAGGGGTCGGTGGCAAGAGGGTCTGTCGAGGTCTGCATGATAGACAGTGCGCGGGCAGAAGGGGTGAGGTGGGAGAGCTGCGGCAAAAAAACGCAAGGTCTTGTCCTATAGCATGCGGTGATTGGTAAAAACCGTGGCTTGATGTGAACTAACTGTGGCTGGTGTTGCAAACTATGGTTGGCGCAAACCGCGGTTGGGTGTAAACGGTGGTCGGTGCAAACCGTGATTTGGTGCAGGTGGTGTGGTGCAAACGGTGGTTGCTGTAAACGGTGGTGTGGTGTAAACGGTGGTTGGCATGAACCTTGGTTTGGTGTAAAGGGTGGTTGGTGTAAACGGTGGTTGCTGTAAACGGTGGCTTGGTGTAAACCATGGTTTGTGTAAACCGTGGTTGGGTGTACATGGTGGTTGGTGCAAACGGTACAAACGGTAGTCAAAATGCCTTTAAAGCCATTGCAAAACGCTGTGAAACGCAGGCAAAGCACAAGCAACGCGCGTGCAGAAGGACGACGACGACGAAGGCGACGACGAAGACAACGTGCAAAGAAGGGTGGTGTTAGTCAAACCAAAATCCGCGCAGAGGAGCGATCTAAACGATGAACAACTTTAGTATGAGATAAGACAAGTACAAGCACATCCACAAGACACGACGGCAGGCCGGCGGACTATATATATATGTATAAACACACTTAGTCACAGGGTTTGCAGTTAGTCATAATCCACAGTGAAATGGATGAGGAAAACGCAAGGTGGCGGAGTCAGCAACATCTTTCGCGACAGCGCGGCAGCGGAAAGCAGCTGAGGGAAACGGGTTTTGGGAGATAGCATGCAAAAACCATGGAAACAAAAACACGGTGACAGGGTGGACCAGTGGTGTCATTGTGTTCAACGCAGGTACACAGATTGGCGTCCCAATCTGCTTCACGGAGTGTCCACAGCTGTCTTCGTTGGCAGCAGAACTGTGGACTCCCTGCTGCCCCCTGCGAAACGGTGGAGAAACATCAAACTCCTAGATACGGAGGGGGACAAACACACACACACACTGCCGCTTTGCGGCGCGAAACCTGACTAGTCACCTAACAATCCTTAGAAAAAGGAAAGGAAAGAACAAAGCGGAAGCCGAAGAGGGCAGGAGAAAAAAGGTAGGTGTACGGACGTGCAGGTCTGAGGCACGAGCGACAAATTGTGGCTCAAAACCTGAGTAGATACCTAAAAAGCCTTAGAAACGAAAGAAAGAAAAAAAGAAAGAAAGAAAGAAAGAAAGAAAGAAAGAAAGACAGCAAGAGCAAAATGAAAAGGGCAAGAGAGAAAGATAGGAGTAGCGAAAAAGATGACTACCTAGCACTTGATTACTTAGCCCTTGACTAATACCCGAGGGGTAGGGAAACGTGCCTCCAGAACCACCTAACAAGCCTGAAAGAAAACCTAGAAAGCGAAGAAAGCGCAAGAGAGAAAGCGGGGGGCAGGGAGGGGGTGTATGTCCATGTGTGTGTGTCACCCTTGGAGTCATAGGGATGCTTTTGCATTTGTTTTGTTTTATAGCAGGGGGACCATCCATGTGCTGTGAGCGATGGTCCAACGAAGCGGCCACAGTACATGCGGATATCTGGCCTGATCAGCCAGACGTACCTGCCATTTTCCGAGTCTTCTGAATGGCATGAGGCTAAGCCCAGAACCTCACAGGTAGCTACATTTGGCAGTCCAGAGCGCACGTCGTCATGTCGACTTGATCGTCGCCTTCGATCTTGAGACTTTGACCCTATTTCCTCTTGAAGACCTCGAGGCTCCGTGGTTCTTACTCGTACTCTTAGGAAATGGAACCCTAGGCCGGCGTGTGGCACCGCTTCCAGTTCCGTATGCATATCCATAAGTGTGTGTCTGAATACTTAGCACTCTAGTTACTGATTACTTAGCGGTTCTTAATTACGTGCAGTAGTTAGGGAGCGGGACTTTAGTCTTCAACCGCCCGGGTACAGTAGTCTAGAACAGGGACAAGAGAAGGAAAGGCACCGACGCACAAGTGTGTCGAGTACCATTTCCTTCTGTTACCCCAATGAGAGGGGGGGAGGGAGAGAGAGAGAGAGAGAGA